TTAATTTATAATATTAATGCTGTGTAAATTTACATAGAGCAAAGAAATTGTAAAAATAAAAATATCTATAAGAACACCGGATTATATATCTTACTGTTCTTTCTTTATATATATATATATATATATATATATATATATATATATATATATATATATAATGATTCTATCTTGCTAACTTTCTATATATATATAGATATACAAATTTAACAACACAGATAGAATTAATATATAACCCCATAAGTCAAGGCTTATTCACATTTCTCCCTCACACAAGAGAGACATTCTTGGAGAGGTGTTGATGTCTTACACTTATAGACACACTCATAATAATATATACACATACACGTATCACACACACTTACAAAGAATTAAAGTTAACCATACACTTGACACATACATCCGATTTCCAGCAAACAATAAAAGTGTCAAATTCACCAAGGAGGAAATTCTTAAAGTCCCCTGTCATCTGTCTTAAAAACAACTTTAAAGAAGCCGTTAACCCAACACAAAATTGACGATAAAAAACAAATGAAAACTACAGATAAAGTTTACTTTCTTCATAAAATCTGTAGTTCAATGCAACTAACAAGCAGGGATTTTATTTCTCCTGATGATTGCCTTGCTAGCCGAAACTAATCGAGGAAACTAAAGGAAATAATAAAACAAAGATAAAATTAATTGCAACTGAATGTGTGGCCGAAAGTTTAAATTTTTTAATATTTGTTATTGTCCAAAATACACACACACACACACACACACACACACACACACACACACACATATATATATATATATATATATATATATATATATATATATATATATATATATATATATTTTAAGACATTTTTATGTTTATACATTTTTTTATAGATAAAAATATTTAAGTAAATACTCTGTTTATAATAAACAGTATTAAACAACATTTACCGGCCTAAATGTCCGAGAAATATATATATATATATATTTATATATATATATATATATATATATATATATATATATATATATATATATATATATATATATATATATATATATATATATATATATATATGTGTGTGTGTGTATATATATATATATATATATGAATGTCCGATATATACAATTTATTTATTAAAGACATTTTTATGTTTAACGTTGTTATTTATAAATATAAAAATGTCTTTAATATATAAATTGTCGGACCTTGTCCATTTCTTAACATATGACGTCATTTGTTTACATTCGATACGCCAGAGCAGTTATGAATGTACGAGATTCATGGAAGATTGAAGTTTATAAACAGTAAATTCGACCTTGTCTACCGTAAGGTTCTTTGTGGCCGAGCGGTCAAGGCACGTCAGCGTATATGACGGTTCCGTATAGGATGCAGGTTTGAATCCTGTCAAAGAACGAATATTTTCTATGAAAATTTCTCGGACATTCAGGCCGGTGAATGTTATTTAATACTGTTTATCATAAACAGAGCATTTGCTTAAATACTTGTATCTATAAATAACAACGTTAAACATAAAAATGTCTTTAATAAATAAATTGTCGGACCTTGTCCATTTCTTAACATATATATATATATATATGTATATTATTATTACTGTTATTTTCATTGATTTCTGGCGTTTACACATTTTTTCTGGGTCCCGCCCAGGGACCTAAGGTTAGAAATGGCGTCATGACACTTTCCACTGACAAACAAAAAAATAAAAAATAAAAAATAAAAAAAAAGAATCTTTTCCTACCAGTCCTAGGGCTCCAACTACAACAGGGATTGTTGATGTTCCCATATGCCACATTTTCGAGATTTCTATTTCAAGGTCCTTGTACTTTGACAACTTTTTGAATATCTTCAAAGATACATTGCAGTCAGCAGGGACTGCCATGTCAATAAGGAGGCACCGTTTTTGTTTGTGGTCTTTAATAACAATATCTGGCCGGTTGGTCATGATTGTTCTGTCAGTGTGTATTGTGTAGTCCCATAGAATTGTTACAGGTCCTGTCTCCGTAGCCGGGTCTCGGTGGTGTTCATACCAGTTTCTTTCAGTTTCCTTCCCGTAGAAGTTGCAGATTTTCCAGTGCAGATATTGGCCCACTCTGTCATGTCGAGTTTTATATTCTGTGGGTGCCAACACCGTGCAACCTGATACAAGATGATCAATCGTTTCTGGATATTTATCACAGAATCTGCATTTTGGGCTGACACAATATTTTAGTATATGTGCTTGATAATTCCTAGTTAGCAAGCATTGGTCCTGCGCAGCAAGGATAAAACCTTCAGTTTCCGCTTTCAGCACTGCACTACGTAGCCACTGATGGGTACCTGTTTTGTCTACGTCAGCTTGTTTGGTAAGGGCAGAGTATAGGCCATGAAGCGGTTTATCTTGCCATCACTTCTGTATCTGGTCGGTTGCATTCGTCTTTGCTGTCTTTTTTAGGTATTTTGCAGTTTCAGCCGGTGTATTGTGCTGTAGTTGCATCTCTGCGCCCATTTGAATCTCCATTTTGAATTTGTTGGCTTCTTTCATTACGGAGTAAAGACGCTTACTACTTTCATGTTCCTTGACACATACCATCATCCAGTCTTCTGTAATTTCCAAATATCTTTGGAGGCCAATTGTTGTAGTTTTGTAGGACAGTTCTAGTTGAACTAATCCTCTGCCTCCTTCGGCTCTGGGCACATACAGACGATCAACATCAGCTTTGGGATGATGCATGCGATAGCAAGTGAGAAGCTTTCTCGTTTTGGCGTCCATTCGCTTAATTTCAGCTATGGTCCAGTTAAGGACATTAAAGCTATATTGCACCCCAGGGAGAGCCAATGTGTTTATGGCTGATATTCTGTTTTTTGAGTTTAGCTCAGTATTTAGTACCAGACGTACACGCCTGTAGTACTCTTCTCTTATTTTTTCCTTCATTTGGGGGTGTTGTATGCCATCTCCTTCGCTTTTTATTATTATTATTATTAATAGAAATCTTATAAGTATAAGAAACTATACTCGCTCGGAAAACCTTCGGCGTCTTGATTTGCAAATAAACAAGTCAATACCAAAGGGGGAAAAATGTATATAAAAAACGAAAACCAAGAACATGTACGTTGGCCGAAAATAATCGTCCAGCATGCAAGTCCAAGGCCCAAAGGAAAAAAAAACGACCGCCAAATAACTAAATAAAGTGCTCAATACAGTGAATAGAGCAGACCTAGTTAAACCTGGAGTTCCAGACAAACCTACCAAGGTTTCACCTAAGCGGATCGTCAGGGAAGGCCGGCTATGACGATCCGCTTATTTGAAACATTAGTAGTCTTGTCTGGCTCTCTAGGTATATATATATATATATATATATATATATTAATAAATAAACATATACCTACGTTTGGTGTGCGACTACAGTTTTTTTGTCTACCCAACTCCTCGGGCACAAGATTAATTTTATTTAATAAAGTATAAATAAGTTCATGGGACGCTGATTCCTAGTTCAAAATTAAAATATTATAAAAATAATACTAAAGCAATAATGCGGTTTAAATGCAGGGACAGAGGTGTAGGTATGAGTCGATAATAAAAATGAGAGAAAAAAGAGGGAATTAATGCAAATGGCAGCAAAGAGAAAACTACACAGAATCAAAAAAGAAACAGCTCAAAAAAATCTTGTACACATATCGAGTAACGAGGGCTTGTGAAATTAACTCACACAGGGCATATTGAAGATAGGATAGATAGAAGAATGCAGTGAGTCACTTATCTGAAGAGCCCGTGTGAATCGATGACGGGACTGCGGAAAAGATGCTTAAAAAAAAGCAGAAATTGTTCTAAGAGCAAGAAACGACAGTAAATTTTGAAGAAAAATGATCGCTCATTTTTTAAATGAACACGGCGCCATTTTGAAATATGTATGAAGCCCATGGAAAAGTAAAAATGTGTAAGCTTTAACTAAAAATTTTCTCTATAAATCAATTAATTTTTCCATCTTTAGGCTACCTAGAGAGTGCTGGACAATCGTCTCAAAGAAGAAGCGACTTGAAGCAATGGTAATGTAGTTTCCCAGAATAATTTCGAGGATAACATCAACTGGTTAAGTGAGCCACGAATATTTAGAGAAAATAGTCACAAGAAGGAATTTACACTTAACATTAGGAAGAGACATTTGAATTACTAGGGTGCATACTGAGAAATGCGGATTTGGCATTGTGTTCTCGAAACTTAGACATCTCATGAAAGATAAGTCGATTGAATGTTTACGAGGTTGGGCTGAAAAGCTCATAGGCTGACTATGATGGAATGAAGCTAAAGCTGTAAAATCTTGCACGTATTAATTAGAAATCTTCTTATTAATACATTGTTTCTCTCCGGGTAATACCCAGCCTTTAAACATTTCATCCCGTCTTAGTATTAATTTATTGGTTATTTTCACTCTAGTTCTATACTGAGCAATTTCTTGAGAAATATATACACACATTGAATAACCGTAAATTCTAATAAATGGTATTTTGTATGTAGTATTGATTATTATTACTATTATTAAAAGATAGATCGGAAAACAGATGAATAAATAATAGGTAAGAGAATCATAAAATGAAAAAAAAAATCACAATGACCTATTTCGCTCGGAGAAAGATTTTGTCAAGTATAGTGGAGGTTTCATTGATGAAATCAGTCTTATAAGTAAAGTGGGTGTACGAGCGGGTAGAGATACAACAAACACGCGTAATAATTATCATTTAACGTAAATAAATGTAATGTTAATATCCTGTTCATGTAGAGGTTTAATATATTCAGCTTATTCCGTGTACTTTTCTTTCATTCCTGGATCTATAGGCGTCACTTGAACGTTATTTCCCCATTTGTTATATATATATATATATATATATATATATATATATGTGTGTGTGTGTGTGTGTGTGTGTGTGTGTGTGTGTGTGTGTGTGTGTGTGTGTGTGTGTGTGTGTTTGTGCACGCTCGCGTGTGAAGAGGGAGGGGGAGAGGTACATATATGTCGCAAATCTTTCATAGGTAATTCATGATAGATATTAAGAAAGAAAGAAAGAAAGAAAGAAAGAATGAATGAATGAAAGAAAAAAGAAAGAAAGAAAGAAAGAAAGAATGAAAGAAATGTAAGAAAAAAAAGAAAGAAAGAAAGAATGAAAGAAAGAAAGAAAGAAAGAAAAAATGAATGAAAGAAAGAAAGAAAGAACCGAAAGAACCGAAAAGAAAAAGTGAAGAAATCATAATAAACAAGAAAGAATTCACTTCGGTAGATGAAAGAAGAAATGAAAAATAAATAAAATGAAAAAGAGAAAACAAGAATCGGAAATAAAGAAAAAAGAAATAAATAAATGAGGGAGGTTGAAATGAAGAAATATAATGATAAATAAAAAAGGGAAAAAAAAGAAATACATACCGAATGAAAAATAAATAAGAATTAAATAAAGGAAAAAAGAAAGAAAGAAAAACTATGTCGGAAAAAATAAAAAAGAAAAGTAGTATGTAGGAAAAAAAGAAGAATCAAATAAATTATAAAGAAAAACAAAAAAGAAAAGAAAAAAGGAATATATTAAATAAAAAAGACAAAAGATAAAGAAATATAAAAAAAAAATATGAACAGATATCTAAAAACAATATTTTTTCTACATTTTTACCATGGCGACTAGCGTCGCCATTAACTTCTAAGTAAGATTCCCTTTGATTTACTCGCATTTCATCTCGGATTCAACAAAAGTTCCGCGAGAAAAAATCAACAGGAGAAGAATCGTTGACAAACCTCATGTTTTACTCATTGAATTGAAATCAATAACTTGTTCTGATGTCTCGTATGATGACAACCATTCGAGACAAACTCTAGCAGTAAACTAACTTGCTACGACCTACAGGGTGTCAATTTGGACGAGAAAGTTCGCGCAGGAAATAGACTTCTGTGATCCTCTGAAGTCAAAACACTCAGACCCTTCTTTTGAATCCATGTATCTTCTTCAGAAGTTAGTGTTACACCTTTCTCATTTCTTTTGATCTGCCGGCTTGCATTCTTTGAATCTGTCTTTATCTGTCCTTTATACTTTGATAGATTCTTCCTGCATTGCGAATGTAACTCTATACAACTTAGTTCTTTATTATCAATTTCTTTATTTTAGTTTCTTGTATATATTTTTTTCCTTTCTGAACTTACACATCCTCAGTTATTTTCTTCTGTCTTTTGATTTTTATTGAAGTATTTTTTCTTCTTTTATCGATTTTGTCATCATTTCCTTTCTAATTTTCTTATCAGTTTTCTTCCCCATTATTCGACGTAAGTTTTTTTTTTAAATCCTTTCTATATGTTGGGATGATATAAGAAAGGTTTGATAACGTTTCTCTGTAAATACTTCGTGGAAATATTATATGGCAAGTGTTCACAAAATCATTCAATACATCTGTTACTATCTACACACTGTCAGCAATCTGTTATGAAGTAAGAGTCATTTTTTTTTAATAAATGTAAGACAAGATAACTATAGTCATATTCGTCCAGGCGGCAGACTTACAAATTGGTGATGCCATAATAAAGCAAATATAAACATTCAAATAACTGAAAAGTTTTATAACAGATGAGAGATATTTCGTTTACCTGTCACTTGTCCAGATATATTTGGTAGAGCAGCCGTACCCTGTAGCGAACTGGCGCTGTTTATATGTATTTCTAGAAATAAATAAAGAACAAACAAAAACGTCGCCCTGTGTATGACGGTAAACTACATCAAAGAGCAAAATCCCTGATCAGGAGATTGAAGTTCTGGAGGAGAGTAGTACAATCTCTTAATTGCTGTTGTTGTAAAGTCCAACATGGCCACGGGAGATGGCTAGGCTGGTGTAGAGTAATTTCTACTTTGTCCAGTGTAAGGATTTTAATGAAATGATCGAAGACACAATCGGCCATAATTTTTTGAGCTAAAAAGCAACATTATATTATAAAGCGTCATTATTTTCTTTCTTGTTTATAGCGAGATTCATTTATTCTCTCTATAACTTTTATAGTATTGATGCATACACACATCTACACATGCACACATACGGGGTGCGATGAATAAACTGCCGGCTAAATGACTCAAAAATGAAAATAACGTCGATATCTCATTTTAAGAGATAGATTTACTAAAATTACACAAAAATATCTTGAAATACTAAAGAGTAAATTTATTCAATAAAATCGTCATTGGCTTCAACATCGGCCTCCAGACGACTTCGGACTCTCCTGCATCTCTTCTGGACGGTCTCCTTGTTTAAGTTGATGAATATATGTTTACATAGCCTGCGATTGATAAATTGTCGTCGAAATGACTCAAAAATGAAAATAAAATTGACATCTCATTTTAAAAGATATATTTACCAAAATTACATAAAAATATCTTGAAATACTAAAGAGTAAATGTATTCAATAAAATCGCCGATAGGTAAATTGTCGCGATATTATATTTTAATTTCACGCAAGCGCGTTGTTTGATTTTGATTTTATTGACTGCAATGTAGAGTAAGGTTCGTTCAGCAACGTCTGCGAGAAAAAGACTACCTGACAGAATTCCCTTCCTCAGAAATTTGGAAAGGGCATGATACACGACATGGCATTCCCGCCGAAAGCTCCATTACGAATATTTCAGAGTGTTTGGTTGTCAATCTGAGAACAGTGCAGAGGATTCGGAAAGAGTTTGATGATTACGAAGGTACGGCAGTATTCATTTATTAAGTTAATCCTAAGCCTTCTGCTCACATCAGTCATCCTCAGAGTGGTTAGAGAGACATCAAACAAATATATCCACTGTCAAAGGTGGTATTTTGTTATTTTGACTTAGAAAAATGCGATGCGACCTCAATAAAAAATATCCAAATGTTTAACAATTTTTGTCTTCATTTTCCCAAGAAATTAAAGCAAATGTTCGAACATTAAAACACCTCATGATCAGACATAATAGGCATTCATTGTTAATAATATATGTTTAAATAATAATCTGCTGCCCTGATGCACTATATATGTATATATATATATATATATATATATATATAGATATAGATATAGATATAGATATATAGATAGATAGACAGATACATATATATATATATATATATATATATATATATATATATATATATATATATATGAATTCCCAAGAGGAAAGAATCCAATAGGACTCATTTTTCAGGACAGAGTAAGAATATAATATAAAATATAATATAATTTTAGCGTTTGAGCCTTTTATAATATATATATATATATATATATATATATATATATATATATATATAGAGATAGATAGATAGATAGATAGATAGATAGATAGATAGATAGATAGATAGATAATATTAGTGGAAAATATACATACATATGCAAAATATATAAATACCCATACATGTATATTTTCAGAAAAAAATTCCAAGAGGAAGAATCCAGGTAGAGCTCAATGTCTAGGACAGAGTAAGGATATAATAAAAAGGCTTAAACACTAATATTCCATGGTCATAATTTATTCCATTGGAATCGTAAATACGATCCAATTTATCAGACCTCCAAATTCAAAAACTTTTTGAATTTCTTTTCTTTTTGAATTTGTAGGTCTGATGAATTGGATCGTATTTACGATTCCAATGGAATAAATTATGACCATGGAATATTATGTTTAAGCCTTTTTATTATATATATATATATATATATATATATATATATATATATATATATATATATATATATGTATTATATTTCTTCGATACCATACTAAGCCCTACAGTTAATGGATTAGAATTAAAAAGATTATCACATCTGAAGTAATAAATGTGATCTAATAATCTAAAATCTAATATTCATAAAATAACACGAAAATAAATTCCTGAATAATTATAGTCTTCTATTTTAAAGCCTCACAATTTGTAGTCCTCCCTATTTACATGAAGGGACATTGGTTGTATTTAATTTCACCGAATAGCCTACCAACAGACTGAGCAATATTCTGCTGATTCCGCTTTGTTTCAGAGAGCGAAAGATGGGGGGAGAGAAAACGAGAGAGCGGGAGAGATGGGTAGAGAGGGAGAGAAAAGGAGATTTCTGATTTCCATCAGCAAGCCTTATTCTGACCTAAGTGAATTTGGCTAACCTGATACTTCACAGACAAATCTTCTCAACAGACATGGAATGGAAAGACTATGTTAAATCCATTGCTGGGTCAACTGGTAAGAATATTGACAGACTAGGTCGTGCTAGACAATGTTTCTCTCCAAAATCTATCTTACATATTTACCATTCTTCCATGATTTGAATATTGCTGCCATATATGGTCCGGCCCACCTGTTGTATATATAGATATCTCTGATAAAATCCAAAGAACAATCAGCAATATTATTGGTCTTAATCAGGCATGTGGGTCTCAGTCACTTTACTACCGCCATAATATCACCTCCCTTCTTCTGCTTGGAGAGAGAGAGAGAGAGAGAATGTGTAGCCCTCTCTATTTACATGAAAAGAAATACATTGTAAATGCATTTAATCTCACCGAATGTCCTTAATAGTTGATATATAATGCTAGTAGCAAAGCTTATTAGCTTTATAAATCTTAGAAAATAAATATTATAACCAATCTTCATGAAACTAGACACATCGTATTAACTATTGTCTCAATATCGACTACAACAGAAACGCATTTATCTAATTTTAATCTAAAACTTTTAATAAGTTCTACAAAAACCATAAAAAATTCCTTTGATGCTATGTTGTTCCAAAGCTTTTTGGTATGTCATGCTTTAATGAATAAAAGAACAAAAATATATACCAAAAAATTATCATAAAACTAAATGCCATGCTATTTTTTCGTCTGTTGACATCGTTGTGCCAGAAGAACTTTCATGCTTATAACTGCACCCATTTTCAACATCATCCATATTGTTGAGCCTCCATCCACGCACGAAATTATCCTCGGCTCGGAAAATGTGGTAATGATTACGTAATGGCTTGTCTATAGGCGATTTGAGGCAACACTTCGAGCCACTCAATGTTGCACTATGTCACAATAGCAGTTTGTACTGGTACATTTCCATGCTGTTGGTGTGCGCAACTTAATGGATAATGCCGTGTAACGGGCTTCCAAAATTAGATACTCACCTGCCTTCTTTGAATCCTAATAGCCAGCGTTCACAGCATGCGCATCTGGTATGAGCTCAAAGCATACCACTCCCGGTAAATTCAAATATACTTAAGACATGACCTTTGTTTGAGAAAAGTGTCCATAGCCTGACCGAAATGAATCCACTGAGATTTTTTATTAGGATTACGAAAATAGATTCATTTTACACTTAGTGTTGGAATTTGGCGTCAAAAACAAGCATTTTCCCAATACACTATTTACAGTTTTCGGACTATTTTCTCGTCTTTGTCGTCATACTTATCACAACGTTTCGGCTATTGTACCCTCCGGCCATCTTCAGCTAGTTGGAATGTCGA